TCGGTTGTCAGTTTTGGAGCCTCTTCACGAACAACATCATCTGACACCGTCTTCTCGCTGTCAGTTTCTGCAGTCTTTTGTGCAGCTTGCCCTGTATTCCCTTCTTCTCTTGTTTCCTTATCAACTTCCATTGGATCTGCTGTTTTGGTAGCTCCTTTTTGTTCGGTTTCTTCTGCAGATGTCTGTTCTGGAACTGCTTTCTGGGTGTCCTCTGTTGCAACTTCCCCCAATGGATCTCCTTCTTTTGGGATGCTTTCCCTATTCACAGCTCCTGGAGCAGAATCATCTTGCTCCTTTTCTTTTGGCTTCGGTGTAGATGCAGCAAGATCGACTGTAGATGGTTGTGAATCATCTTCTTTCTGTGTTTGCTCCTCGTTCTCCTCTTCGTTCTGGTATATCTTTGTCTGTTTGAATATTTCATTGATTGTTTTATTCAAACTGGCATTCAATTCTTCATCATTCTCTTCTTCATCATCTTCACACTCATTGTCTGGTCCTACTACTTGATCGTCAGATTTTTCTCCTTCTGGGGGCTGAACATATTCATCAGACCTTTCTTTCTGAAGATTCTTTTTGTGTTTGATCAGCTTGTTTAGTTGGCTGTTGTACTGCTCTTTGATTGCTTTCATCATTGCCTTCATTGATGCTTCAACCAGTTTGATTGCATTCTCAGCCTGCATAATGGGAGTATGGTTAGTTACCATGGTGGTAATACATGGTATTGGCAATTATTATCACTATTCTGCATTTTTATAACATGAAACTATATCTTACCACACCTTACCATATGGTAACAAAGTAAAACAGAACAAGAATTATGGTTTCCTCCATTTTTATAACATGAATTCATTGCTTACCACACATTACCATATGGTAACGTATTAAAACACAACAGGACTTATGTTTTCCTCCATTTTTATAACGTGAAACCGTAGATTACCACACTTTACCATATGGTAACAAACTAAAACACAGAAGGACTTGTTGTTTTTTGTATTTTTAAAACATGAAAGCATAGCTTACCACACATTACCATATGGTAACAAAGTAAGACAGAACAAGAATTATGGTTTCCTCCATTTTTATAACATGAAACCATTGCTTACCACACATTACCATATGGTAACGAAGTAAACCACAACAGGACTTATGTTTTGCTCCATTTTTATAACATGGAACCATAGCTTACCACACTTTACCATATGGTAACAAAGTAAAACACAGGACTTACGCTTAGCATGTATTGGACAACTGGTATATAGATAATTTGTACTTACTTGGTTGACTGTTCTGATTTTCTTCAAATCAAAGTTCAGTGATGATGACTGCTCGGGACTTTTGTTTCTTTGTCTTTTCGGTGATTCATAGACTGGCTCATTCTCCTCTTCCTCATCAGCTGCGACATCAGCTGCGTCATCAGCCTCATCGTCTCTAATGTTGGTAATCTTTTCGATCTCGTTCAACTGTTTTCCATTGTAGTAGCTCTTAATGTTCTCAAAGTTGCTATCAACATTGTTATCATCATAGTAGCTTACTGTTGGTGTTCGAAGCTGGGTTGAGAATGCCATTTCGTCCAGTTTGTACATGAAGCATACCTTTTTATGCAGATAGTTGTATTAGTTTTTTCAAAGAGTATCATTTATATATAAAATATATGAGTAACAAGGTTGAAATGGCCAAGGGAATGGAGACTTACTGTAAGGAAGTGAAGATCTGCATTGACGTAGAACTTTGGTGATTTCAATCCTTCATTCATGTGGTTGAAGAAGTATTTGCACCAGTTGTAGCTGGTGAAATGTTTCTGTTCATCAGTCTTCAAGTACTCAAGCATGTTGAGTTCAGCCATAGGGGCTGAAGTTGGGCACAGCAAGCCTCCGGTGACCAGCAGAAAGAACAATTGTAACCATCTCTTACTGTTGGTAACTGTAGAAAGATCTTTTTCTACCTGACTTAGCTTTACCCTTGGAGTGGATGCTCCATCTACTTCCAGTAGGGTTTCTACTGCATAATCTGCTGCATCGTCCCAAGAAATCGTGGGAGGTACAACTTCCCTATTCCCCATTGGCAGACCATATACCCTATGAAAGTCAATTGGTGATATCTTCATGCGTGTCCCGTCAGGTAGCTTGAAAGATTGTTTCATTGGATTGTATTTGTTCATTACGAACAGTGCAAAATGGGTGTTTATCTTTGTCTGCTTGATTGACATTAAGCCTGCTAGGCCTAATGTCTCAAGTTTCTCTTTCTGGTCATCTTTTATAGTCCTTGTAATTGCAGATATTCTTGTTGGGCTGCACCTTGTGCGAAAATTTTTTCTTTGGTTTACCATAGTGTACCTGAATGTAGAAATTAGGAATAGTCTGTTAGCGTGCTTTTTATCATGATATACCATATGGTACCATAATGGTTTCATACCATACCAAATCAAACCATATATTTATCTCATTTTACCATATGGTAATTACATCAAACCATGTCTTATAACATATTACCATATGGTAACGAAGTAAAACACAACAGGATGTATGTTTTCCTCCATTTTTACAGCATGAAACCATAGTTTACCACACATTACCATATGGTAAAGAAGCAAAACACAGCAGGACTTATGGTTTTTTGCTATTTTACAACATGAAACCATAGTTTACCACTCATTACCATATGGTAACGAACCAAAACACAGCAGGACTTATGGTTTTTTGCTATTTTACAACATGAAACCATAGTTTACCACTCATTACCATATGGTAACGAAGCAAAACACAGCAGGACTTATGGTTTTTTGCTATTTTACAACATGAAACCATAGTTTACCACTCATTACCATATGGTAACGAACCAAAACACAGCAGGACTTATGGTTTTTTGCTATTTTACAACATGAAACCATAGTTTACCACACATTACCATATGGTAAAGAAGCAAAACACAGCAGGACTTATGGTTTTTTGCTATTTTACAACATGAAACCATAGTTTACCACTCATTACCATATGGTAACGAACCAAAACACAGCAGGACTTATGGTTTTTTGCTATTTTACAACATGAAACCATAGTTTACCACTCATTACCATATGGTAACGAAGCAAAACACAGCAGGACTTATGGTTTTTTGCTATTTTACAACATGAAACCATAGTTTACCACTCATTACCATATGGTAACGAACCAAAACACAGCAGGACTTATGGTTTTTTGCTATTTTACAACATGAAACCATAGTTTACCACACATTACCATATGGTAAAGAAACAAAACACAGCAGGACTTATGGTTTTTTGCTATTTTACAACATGAAACCATAGGTTACCACACATTACCATATGGTAACAAACTAAATGACAGCAGGACTTATGGTTTTTTGCTATTTTACAACATGCAATCATAACTTACCACACATTACCATATGGTAACGAACAAAACACAGCAGGACTTATGGTTTTTCGCTATTTTAGAACATGCAATCTTAATTTACCACTCATTACCATATGGTAATGAAGCAAAACACAACAGATTCTACATCAGTTCAGCAACGCATGGAGAGTGACTGCGATACTGTTCTATTGTTCTGTGGATGGATTTTCGAAGAAAGAAGTGAGGTTTTACCTTGATATTTTGTGCGAAAACGATTTTTGAGCCTCGTTGAAGTTGGAAACTCTTCGTTTTTCGACGAAGAAGCGAGAACAGTGTATCGTTGAATGATTCTTCGAAATCCTTTGCGAAAATCGTTCGATTTGAAGTTTTTTCTGGAAGTTTTTGCTGCGATTTTGGTGAGAGAATTGAGAATCGAGAGGAAGAATGGAGAGTTAGAGAGCAGAGAGGGAAGTGGAACTGTCGCTTGAAAGGTGAGAGGAAGAAGGAGAGAAGGCGGGATGGTTGTCGCTGTCACGTCTGCAATTCAAATTGTCAGAGACGAGATTACGTTTTTGCCCCCGCGTGTATTTTAAGTGGCCTGATCTGACGGCTGGGAAGATGGCGCGATGGACGGCCGGATCATCGGTTACTGACCGTTACTGATAGGTCGGTTACTGATAGGATCCGGACCCCACTCCATGGGCCCAATAAGGCAATGCCCGCTACTTTCAAGTTCGAGTGCGGACTCCGGAGGCTGCAAGTCGTGAGGTGCTAAAATGCGCGCGGCGTGAGAGTTGAGGACAGGTCTCCGTTGTTGGACTCGTGTCTGACAAACAATCGACCCATTTCGCGCTTCCCTTTCTACTGCTTTCTCCCACCATTTTCTCTCTCTGTTCCTGCTTCTGCTTCTGCTTCCGCCAGACAGCGCTTTTCCGAATTCCTCCTCCTCTCGCTCGCTCGCTCGGTCGGTCGCCGCCGATCAACTGAAAGAACGAACTGTTCCTTTGTTCATCGCCCGCCAGTGTACGATTCTCTTCTTTTCTCTCTCAATGTGCCTATTCACTGGTGTTCGTCTCCTTTATCTGTCGGTCTATTATGCGTTCCCTTCACCAGAATCGACTATCTGCGTTTGCTTCGTTTCTTGAGTTGTGATCGAAATGCTGGAAAATTGAACCTCTACTTCTTCAGTTTGTCTTCGGCTTTCATAGTTTTAGGGGTTTAATTTCTTGTCGCGCGCTGAGTTTGGACGAATTGTGTGATCGGAGTTAGGGACGGATTTTCTTGAGGTTCAGTGATGGCGATTCATTGGCTCCCTAGGGTTCGCTTAACAAGCATTGGAGGTTTGTTTAATCGAGTTTCCTTTTTCCTTCGCTTCTTGTGTGCTCTTGCAGGATGGCGACAGGGAAGAAAAAGCAGTATTGGATGAACACAAATGTACCACCAAACCACGCACATTCAGCCGCGAGCGGTTCGTATACTAGAAACTTGCCCAAGAGTAGTCTTGGCGGTGTAATCTTCGGCTGTACAAAGCACACCATGGCAGAATGCTTACAGAAGCAGCTATTTGGTCAGCCATTGAAAACTTCAATTTTACTGGCTGCTAATTGTTCTTTAGCATATCGTTCTGTTCATTCGAATCGTTCAGTTTCCTTTCCTTGTTTTTCTTTTTTGGATTTGTTTCTAGTTTTGTCTCCTTGCTGAATGATGAGAGTATTTCTACTTGGGATTTCACCAGGCTTACCAGCTACGCATTTTGCTTATGTAAAGAACATAGATGCTGGATTGCCACTGTTCCTATTCAACTATTCTGATAGGAAACTGTATGGGATCTTTTTTGCTGCCTGCCCTGGGCAAATGAATATTGACCCTTATGGATGGACTGATGGCTCAGAAAGAACAGCATATCCTGCACAGGTAACCTTGTTTCTGTTCAGAGTGTTCGACTTTGTTTGACGATGATCAAGAAAATGGGGCTGAATTTGACATTTTGTTATTTGTAATGTATTTTTTCTTGTAAGGTTCGAATTCAGGTTAAGCAGCAGTGTCAACCGTTACTTGAAGGACAGTTCAAACCAGTAATTGCAGACAATTACTACAATGATAAGCACTTCTACTTTGAGCTAGATCATGGTCAAACACAGAGGCTTATGGCTTTATTATCATTTTCACCTCTCCCTTCAGGTGCCTCATTCTTGCCATATTCTGCAAAGGTCGTACCTACGTATCAATACCGTCCTGTACGCAAGAATAAAGAGGAAACAGACGAGTTTGAGGCAGTAAAATTTGAGGCTGATCAAACATTATCTGAATCTAGTTCAATAAGTGATAAAAGGGACGTAGACGAGGAGTTTACACCACTTGCTTCAGAAATTAAGAACCACAATCCTAGTGGAAACCCACATGATGGGGATGCCTATTCCACTTCGGTTAGTGAAATCCAGCTAAAGGAAGCAAAGGTAGTAGCAGAAGTAGTTGGTGGAAAAGGAGAGGAAGCGCTTATATTTGAAAAACTGCGACAATTGTCTCTAAACTCTGCACCAAAAGAGTCATCTTCAGAGTCATCCTTTGAAGTATCTGGTGCTGCAAACCATAGCGTGTCTAAGGAGAGAAATAATCCAGAGACTGGATCTACTAATGGTTCATGCACCTCATATGATTGTCGGTCCATTACTACTCAGGTTGTTGATAATGCTTTATGCATTACACATCTCTGGTTTCTTATACAATTTTCATATCCTTATTTGCTTATGTTCTGATCTATTTCTTGTATGATTACTAAGTTGACGCAAGCATTGGAGGAGCTCAAGACTTTTAGCTCCAAACAAGCTCTGAAAGTGAGCCAGTTGGAGAAGAAGCTGGTGCGTCTGTTATGTTCTAGATATTGATTGCCCAGTTCTCTCTGGTTGATCACCAAGACTTCTCAGATAGCTTTTGTTTCATTTATATCACTTCTGAATGACACCTGTTAAAAGAACTGATTTATTTTATATCTTTGCTTCCTTGTTTGTCTATTGTGGGCTCTCCATTGCTCTTGCAGGATAATTGACGGCTCCTAGTCTATTTTCTTCGCACAATTTCTTATGATTCCCCTTCTATTGTGCCAGGTGGCAGCTGATGTAGAAATTCAACGTCTGAAAGATCACTGTTTCAAGTTGGATGGCACTCCTAGTGCTCCCATCACAAACTTTGGCAAGATAGCGCAAACTGCACCAGATGATCTGCATTTGGATCTTGGTGACTCCATCTATATCATTGGGGGACATGATGGTAAAACATGGTTATCTTCATTGGATCTCTATCTCCCTTCAACAGGACAGAGAGAATCTCTGAGTCCTATGAGTTGTGTACGGGCATATGCATCAGTTGCGGAGTTGTATGGTAATCTTTATGTTATGGGTGGTGGGGATGGTAATTTGTGGTATGATACAGGTACTGCTTCATCTCCACAATTCTTCTGATTACTTCTTCGTAACTCTGTATTTGTATACCACTATAAAAAAATAGGGGGGAAACAAAAAAAGAACTCTGTTTGTTCTAATTTAAATCTTTCTTTTTTTTCTTTTCATGAAGTTGAGTCCTACAATCAAGGCAGTAACCGTTGGACGTCATCCCCATCCTTGTCTAAAAAGAAGGGCAGCTTAGCTAGTGCTAGCATAAGTGACAAAATATATGCATTTGGGGGTGGCAATGGACAAGAGTCATTTTCAGATGTTGAGATGCTTGATTTTGATGTTGGCCGATGGATCCAGGCAAGGTCAATGTTACAAAAGGTACAGAATTGATAAATTCTTTGAAATTTATTGGACACCGAAGTTTCATTTTTGACAATCACATTTCCCTTTTGCTTCATGTTTTCTAGCGATTTGCTCTTGCTGCTGTGGAACTCAATGGTGCGCTGTATGCTACGGGTGGCTTCGATGGCAATGTATATCTCAAGTACGATGTCTTTAGTTACATCACAGCTTGTGAATTTTTCAGAGTGAATTTTCTTTTTGTTTCTCTCTTCAGCAGACAAAGAAAGGGCCATCCTTAGTTGGTCTGGATTTGTGTGGTTGCAGGTCCTGTGAGAGATTTGATCCAAGGGAACATTCCTGGATCAGAATCACGGATATGAATGAAATCAGGGCCTCTCATTCTTTAGTTGCCTTGAACGACAAAATGTAAGTTCTGCTTGGTTGCACCACTAGTTAACTTTCTCTGGGTGTGCTCCTTTCGGCGTAAGTAACCTTTGTTCTTGGTAATCTATAGAAGAAATGGATATTAAGGGTGCCTCTTTAGATTTTAAGAAAACTGGGGTTGATTGGGAGGGGAAATATTTTGTAGTAGTAAGAAAGCTATTGACAGAGTGGTAGATAGTCCTTTTAATTATAAACAAAATGTGCGAGTCTTGGAAATGACTTCTGCTCGTCTCTTTAAGAGTCAGATTCCTTGTAGCAAGGGGCAGGAGTTGAAAATAGAATCTTAACAGTGAGAGATAGCATCTATATTTAGAATTGAGTTGCTGTAAAAAGTTAGGTTGAAGAAATTTGTTTATGTGAGCTTTTCAAGTAATTAGTTCCTCAGTCGAAACCAACACAACCCTTTGAGATAAAGTGTTGGAGCTGTCTAGTGATGGTGAAATCCTCAACATGCAGATATGCTCTAGGTGGTTCTGACGGTGACAACATGGTGTCGAGCACTGAAATGTACGATCCTCGTAATGGTTCATGGATTATTCAAGAACCGATGAAGAAGGCGAGGGCATACTCTGCTGCCGTAGTTGTGAAAGAAGCCATATTTGTATTTGGAGGAGTGGAAGCGGGTGCAACTATAACGGACACAGTATGTTAGCCCAACCAAACCAATGACGACTTTTGGCTTGTTTATGATTCAAGGTTTAATGGACACGCCTGACTATGCGTGGGGGAATTTGCAGGTAGAGTATTTCAAGGACGGAGAAGGATGGCAAGAACACAAGACGAGTACCATCGGGAAGAGAAGCTTTATGTCCGCGATGGCTGCTTAGCATTATCGTTAGGTGGAGGGGGAAGATATGGAGTGGATGGCAAGATCGAGGGTTACCATGGTTGTGATCATCTATCAATTGTCGATTTTGGCTTGATGATTGGCTTCGGCAATGCAGTCGAGATGTGAGCATGAGCGATTACGACACTTTTGTGCATAGTTCTTTTTGTTTACCACGGGCCATCCACGAGAGTCACAAGATATAGTGATTTTGATCATATTGTAAAAACTAAGTTGATACGGGGGTTAACGCAGGGTAGACATTGTTGGTGTAAGTGATGATCAACAATCCTTTTGGGAAATAGTCATACAAGATACATTCTCTATACTTGTGTTTTAACAAGCGACCTAAGTAAAAAGGCAGGTGTTTCACCTGATCCAGTAGTACCAACACTCTTGTAGGGCCCAATTCTTGAACAAGAGCCCAAGACAACGGCCCAATTCAGTGGACGGGCAGTTCCTTGTTTCTCTGGGCTGTACTGCAATGCCAGTCTGCATGGCTTACCAAGTACCATTCGTTCCTCAACCTGAATTCAGCAGCAAAATGATCGACAAAGAAGGATTAGTTTGCACTGATCGGCGGAAGGCATTCTTTCGAAACCAAATTCTGCAACGTACATCTGGCTCTGCGAATGGCAAGCTTGGCTATGTTATCCGACAGGCCACGAGGGAAATACTCTCGGCGAGCCGAATTCAAAACCTAGGATTCAGATGAAACAAAGCAATAATCAATGAAAAACATCATAACAGTATGGAATTCCATCCACTGAGAGAAACAAAGAAGCATTGCTTGCCAAGATTTAATGAGCGCAGGCTCAGCCTCCAGTGCTCCTGCAGCCGTAAATAGTTGTTGTATGAACACTCAATGACAAGCATACGAGACTCCGAGTTCATTTCCTCTCAACCCTCTGGAGATAAACTTCTTTCTTCTGGCAAAGATATGCTAATGGATGTTTCGGACCACCACGTCCTTTGGCTAACCAGACATCCTCCGACGTACATTCCATCCCCAGACAGACTCTCAAACTGAATGAACTCACTTTCGGGGGTCCATAAAAGGGTGCGGGCATAGAGATCTTCTTCTTCATCTTCGCTCCAACAGAAACCACTTGTAGATTTGGATCCAAGAACAGAAACTGAGTCAACTGACCATCATCTGATGTTAAACTCAGCCAAAGCCTACCCTCACTGGATATGTTATGCAAAGTGATGTCCACAGGTATAGCTACAGGCAATCCCGGGATGAAAGGTAGAGGATGGTGGGAACCATACCCGGGGATAACCAATTCTGCACTGACATGTGTAATCTTACTCCTTAAAGTGAACTGCCCAAGGGAGAAGGTATCAGCCAACTTTTTAAAGAAGAGGGGAGCAGTGGAGAGAATGCCGGCCTGGTTTAATGTCTGCTTAACTTGGGTGACAAAGCTAGACGGTTCCATCGATCCTTCCTGGAGGAGAGATTCCACTTGTGAGATTGTGGCCGACAACCTTGTAGTCAAAGTAGTACCCCAGCAGCTGAAATTGCCTTTGGCTAGCTTTAATAAGCAAGAAAAGAGAACAAGCTCCAAGATATGTAAATCCTCTTCCTTAGAGAACCCTATAAATCTCGACCTTATTTCTCTGAGTCTGTAGTCTAACTTGCTCAGTAAGACCTCCAACTCGCCTATTTGGTGAGAGTGTCGAAAACAGAAAATGTGGCCTGATACTTTGGCTAGTATCTTAACCACTTGGACATAATGCAATGTAAATGCACATGCACCAGAAGATTCAGGGGAGTTGGGCCTGTACATTGACACCTCTTCCTTGCAAGCACTGCATGGAGAAAGCAGTAAAAAGGTAGGGGGTCAGATTTTTAAACTAAAATGTATCATTAGAAGGGAAGAATAAAAGATTAAAGATCCAACAAAACATGACCTCAGAGTTCTCAGTGCTTCAGAGTTACAGCTTGATTTTCCAAACAACCAAATATCTCTGACTCTTCCAAGTATAAGATTCAAGTATTTCAGGATGTCGGTATCATCATTTTGATTGTAAGATACAATTGTTGCTGCTATATTACCACTTGATTCACATGGTAGCAGCTGCCATGAAGTTGTATTGCTTTTATTATCATCCTGGCTAGGAATATCATGAACAACTGGAGACCTTGGATGCTCCTCAGGTATGCATTCTGCCACAGAGCTGGCTGATATGCTCTTCTCGGTTAAATAAGTTAACAGGGTAGTCTGGTCCATAATGTCACCCAAACCAAGAGAGATCCTCCCTATATGTGTAACTGCAAAAGAATATAAATGTGGTGGTATATGTTTTCCTCTATGATCCTTAGAAAGTGGAGCTGAGATGGAAAGTACAAGGTAAGCTGCTGTATTTGCACTATCGAGGCTCAATGTTCCCTCAAAAACTGGCTCGAGCTGACTCCAAACAACAAGAAAGTTATCATATAAACATTACCAACTATTAACAAAAAATTCCACACATGTCTGATATATACATAACCAGCACACTACTAGTAAATAATAGATATAATCGTAGCTAGCAGGCTCATCATAACAAATCATTGTAGCTAGCAGGCTAAAAGATGTGGGCAGGAAGCATTTTAAGAAGCTGCCAGAAATCAGAATGAGGAATACAAATGAAGAAAGTGCCATTGTTAGGGGGAAAACAGATGATTACCTGGTCGCAAACATCATTGATCACTTGTGAAGCAAAATTTCCATGGTTTCGACCCAAATGAAACAGAACAGAGAAGGTATCAGCTTCATCCTGTGTGCGAGAACATGGAAGAAAAGGTTTACTTTGTCTTACACGAAGAAAGGTGGCACCTTGTTACTTTTGGTCCTATGAGATACTAGTCCCCAGAGAGAGAGAGAGAGAGGTAACGTACCTGGGGATGCACCTCCAAATTTTTTAGAAGGCTGCTAACTGAGCTCCTAAAACAATCCACTTCAGATAGCTTAACCGATCTGAAAGTTCTTCTGGCAGCATATCTGATTATATCACTCTTATCAGCAAGTGTTCCGAGGAACTGCAAGTCAAACCAGTCATCCAACTGTCAGTTACTCTGTATCGAATGATACAAAACAAGATGTAATAGTAGAAAGCAGGAACCGTCAGAAAAAAGTTGTGGTTACAATCTTACGATAAAGATATCTGCTAGCATGTATTCTAAAGAACTGACAAAATGGATCCTCCACAGCAATATAAACAGAGACGCATGTGGAATGAATGCTTGAAACATCATACTATATCTGCAATGCTTCTGACCTAGACAAATATATAAAAGGGGGTAAGAAACCTACCATGTGCATCTGCTCCTTTTGTACATTAACAAAACCATGTCCCGCCATATAATGCAACGTTTCCAAAGCTTCTAACCTGACAGCTACTGTGTGATCATTCAGCATATTGATTAACAGATTCGAGGCCTGCGCAGCAAACTCAGCAGAAAGGTGGACCAGCTTCCGCAATGAGCAACAGGCAGACTTCACCACCTTCATAGAAGCACAAAAGCAAGATCATATACCGATTTGCAATCGCCTTAATGAATTTGTTGCATCACTCGTCTATGAGAATGATTGAATTTGACGTTAACCAGAAGGAAGAATAGAAAAACGAAATGTTGCTATCACGACAGATTAGACTGGGAACCCATAACCATGATTGCGAATCTCTGGCAGGGGAAAAAATTTAATAAATACAATCGAAGGTGGGAAACTATGGATCTTCCCTCAATGTGTATGCCTACTGAAGGTTGTAATTTACAGCGCAGCTACTTGACAATGCGAAGTTACCTCGTGGAACTCATCCTCAAGCCCATGCAGAAAGGCTCCCGCACCATTTGATGCAAACATTTGAAGCACCCTCGAAGTCAGTTGAGCTTGAGATCTATTTTCTTTCTTTCCTTCGGATGACTTAGCTTGAGCAATCTTCTTTTCCAAGGCCCCTGTGATCTTAGACAGACTCTGTAACAAAATCTCCTCAGATACCATGGACTCGGTTACCTTGCCAAGGGCTTTAAATGCTTCAACTCTGACCTCCACGCTCATATCTCTCACTACACAACACAGCTGCAACCGATGTAGTTTGATAAAACATCACATAGCAAATTCATCTAACAACATATAACAGAGATGTTCAACAAGCTGCCCTGTAAGTACCTGAATAAATACAACATTCCCCATTGTATCTTTCTCTTTATGGGCTGCGAAGAGCATTGTACCCCACTCAATTACCACGCGAACCGCTGCAGAACGCACACAATCCTCGGCATCCCGCAGAAGCTCAACAGCTCGACGGAAGCATCCTTCGATCAAGCCAACATCCTCGAACTCGTTGCATCTTGATAATCCAGCTAGGCCGTCCAATGCAGCTTTCCTCACATAAGGATAAGGATCCTTCGTCAAACCGAAGAACACAGTGAACAACACGGAAGCACCTATCCCTAGCCTTTCCGCATTCGTGAGAAGTTGCAGCCGCCCGGTGACCGACGGTAGAAAGCACAGCGAGACAAATATCCGATCGTCGAGCTCGATTTCTGGATTCCCGTGTTTATCCGACAACGAAGCGAGCGTGGCCAGTATCTCGGAAGCGAAGGTGGATGATCCCGCGGAGAGCGACGAGTAGAAGCTGGAACGGAGGCCATCGAAGACAGCGGTGGAGAGAGAAGGACGAAGGGACGCAATATCGTCGAGTAGTTTAAGAGCGTGGTGGCGGAGGGGCGAGTCGCCGGCGTGTTGAAGAGAGCGAATTAGGATTTCGAGGGTTGAAGAGATTGTGGAATTGGAAGTGTGAGGGTTGACGATGAGCGACCTCATTGAAGCCATGAACTGGAGACATAGAGGCTTCTCTGCGTCCAGAGAGAGCTCACAAACGCTCCTCACCTGCTGCTCCATCGACGTTCGCTGTGTTTCGGAGAGAACCGTTTGAAGCCGAAGGTGAAAGAAAGGGGTTAAATGCACCGATTGCCACTTTACTTTTGTAATTACTGCACGTTCATCACTCTAAATTTTTTTTCCCAACTAAAGCATGTATATTATCAATGGAGTTAAACTTGTGATTTTATAGAGTAGGATTTTGGTGTTTAGGAGTATAAAAATGTAAGATTTTAAGCGTAAATTTTGACTATAATTTTAAGAGAAAAGTGTGATTTTACGTAGAAGCGTTTTGGTGACCTTGAAATATAAAAGCGTAAGTTTTTAAGTTTTATAGCATGATTTTGACTACATTGTATGTCGTATTCTGGTTGCAACGTCACCATTTCCGTCCTCTGACCTAAAGGTAGGTAGACAAATGGTAATTTTCCGTGACACGCTAGCATTCCATGTCAGCACAGCTGCTGACTCATATGTGGGCTACATCAAACGTTGGACCCACTAATTTATAATGAAATTTCCAGGCAACAATAGAAAGGTGAGCAGTGTCTCCTCGTATTCCTGCTTTCTATTCTCTACAATAGTTCGAAAACTAAAAAGGCAAAACACTTACTCTTCAAAGAAACCGATTCAGCAAGTCGGTCGTGAGAAGAAAGGAGACCGATTTAGCAAGACGATCGTGAGAAGAAATTAAAAAAATTGTCACAGTTGTCATTGTTTTTTATAATTGAATCAGGTCCATTCAACTACAAATCCTTCGTTCTTCCTCTAATTCATATTTTGTTTGCATTTTGTCTTGTTGTTAGGGATTTGAAACGAGAGACGGACGAAGATGCTTGTAGATGTGTTAAAATAAGTTGTGATTGTTCATTCTGTACACCTCTGGGATCCTCTTGTGTAAGACAAGAACAAGACGCTTAATATTATCTTCAAGTGGTGGATCGATCCAACAAATATAATTACATGCATTTGCAGTTTTGCACCCTACAAATCAAACAAGAGAAGAACCAAAACCATATATTACAAACAGGAAAGTTATGAAATATGTCGTGAAAGCCAAACTAAAAGCCAAGAGTTAAGTATTCAATGTACCCCATAATTGGCGCAACCAATATATATTCCTTGTCGTCGCCACTTCCCCCATCTCTCTCTCAAACTTAGGTCACCTAATTCGCGTGAACTACTCCCGCGCTCCCGCTTTGGTTCGCAAAAACACTAGGTTGTGCTTGGTTGAACATATTTCATATCTTAGCATGTGAATATGACAATAGGAATGATTGTTGGACCATTTGGAGTCAAGACCACGACAAAAATCAAGACGTTGGAGAAGTCATGGTTCAGAGCACCTAAGTCAAGGCCAGACTGTGACTCCCATAAAAGAGGCCATGAGATATACAAAGTTCTAGGAGCCAAACCATAATTCAAGGGCAGTTGAAGAAATCATGGTGACATTTATAATAGAAACCTTGACCAGTGTAAACGAAACAAAGTACTTTGGGTCGACATCATGGTTTAGCATCCATTCCCATGGTCGTGATCTACGATCCTTGCGCACTTCTGGGTATAAAATGGAGCTAAGCCATTTTTGAAGAGAGACAAGTTTTGGAGAGAGAAAGGAGTAGCAGCCTCCTAAAGAGAGAAAGTGACGAACAAGGAGCTCTATGTGGTGATTAAAGGCTTCAATCCTCAATTGGAGCTAGATTTCTCACCAAGGAGTGAAGATTGGAGCTCTAGAAGAAGAAACCATCCCTATGATGTTGATTTCTCTTATTGAGTTTGTGATTCCTCTTCTTTCTCTCAGTATGGAGTAGACTCATTCTCACTTCGGTGTGTAGAACTCTAGCCATGTATGTTGGAATTTGATGTTGAATGATTTCTATCCTTGATACACTCTTTTTATATATTTAATTGAGGTATTTTCATGAAATTGATTGAGTATTGATAGAACTCTCCAATTTGAGATATTAACCTAAGGTGGAGAATATCCAATTAGGTTGATTAGATTATATATTCAATTGTCCATTGTGGGTCAATTGAACTAGTATAATATTGGACTACAATGCCATATGGGATAGAAATCCTTTAGTGGGACTCTAAACTGCATTCCATAGGTCTATTTTGCCGGATGTGGAAACTTTCCCTTTAGATAGTTCATCGATTCTAACAATCCCCCACTTGGTCAACAAGAGTCGAGAAAACCTGCCTCGAACAAGTAACGCATACATAAAGGTATCTTTTTGATTTGAACCTTTACCTAGTGTAAGCATCTCAAAGTTCATAGCGAATCAATGACGGGCTTAAGCCTAGGAGTCAAGATCCAAAGCTAGAACCGGAGATACCACACAAGTTCTTGTCTCTTCTCTAAAACACAACCACCAACAAGGGTAGCACTATTATGGCCAGGTGCTGACATAGATGACATTCCAAATGCACGTCATTAAGAGTTCTATAACTCACCCTTCTTACGACTAATTTATTTGTACAATAAATTAGTTCCCATTTAGAGTAACTCGTTATTACCACATTGAACCTTTTAATTAGTGAATACCTAAAGAAAAGGTTGGGTTTCCATTACTTCTAACTATACAAAAGGTCTCAATCACATCCCTTGGGATGTCTCATAGATCATGCCTCTTGGCAATCCCTTCGTAAGTGGACCTGCCAAATTGTTGCAAGACCTTACATACACAATAAAAATGATTCCGTTAGTGATCAAATACCTAACGTAATCATGTCTTAGGATAATGTGTCTAGAATTACCATTGTAAATCTTGTTATAAGCTCTAGACAGTGTATCCTCACTATCACAGAAGATAGAAATGGCTGGCATCGATTGTGGCCACAACTCTATATCTACCAACATGTTGCTTAGCCATTCTGCTTCTTTTCCAGCCATCGCTTCCATAGTGGATTGTGTAATACATGTTTGTTTCTTCGAAGCCCAATAAACAGCTCCACCACCTAGTGTAAAAATTCATCACGTTGGATATTTATTATCACTAGCGCTCGTGATCCAACTAGCATAAGAAAATTCTTATAGTACAGCGGGGAAGTTGCTATAGAAGAGTCCTAAATCTTTGGTTCTTTTCAAATAACCAAAGACTCTTCCTATAGCTCTCCAATGATCAGCACTAGGATTACTAGTGAACCTATAAAGTTTGCACACCGCAAATGCAATATCGGGCCTAGTACAACCCATTGCATACATCAAACTTCCAATAACACTAGAATACTCAACTTGTGCCACTGCCCTTCCCTCATTCGCACAAATCTTAAAAGAAGCATCATAAGGGGTGTTAGCTTCCTTTATGTCCAAATGCTCGAATTTCTTGAGCATCTTCTCGACATAATGTGACTGACTCAAAGCAAAACCTCCACTATGTTTCTTTACTTTGATGCCCAATACAGTATCAACTTCTCCAAGATCTTTCATTTGGAAGCAAGAAGTTAGATACTCATTGGTCTCATTTATGCCCTTCATGTTAGTTCCTATAATCAACATATCATCAACATAAAGGCATATAATGACCATATACTCTTTTGTGCACTTTGAATAAATGCACTAATCAGTAGAGTTATAAGAAAATCCATGAGCCAAGATAACAATCAAATTTTTCGTGTCATTGCTTAGGTGCTTGCTTTAGTCCATACATTGACTTTTGCAACTTACACACCTTTCCTTCATTTTTCAGGCAACACGAACCCTTCTGGTTGCTCGATATACACTTCTTCATCAAGCTCACCATTTAAAAATGTCGTCTTTATGTCCATTTGGTGTACAAACAGATTGTAAATATAAGCCAAAGCTAAAAGCACCCTTATGGAAGTAATTCTCGCAACTGGTGCATAGGTGTCAAAGTAATCTACTCCTTCCTTTTGACTAAACCCTTTTGCTACCAATCTAGTTTTGAAAGTATGTATTGATCCATCTGTGTTATACTTAATCCAAAATACCCATTTACATCCAATAGCTTTAGATCCAGGAGGCAGATCCATAAGAACCCAAGTCTTATTTGTTAATAATGAATCAATCTCATCATTAACAGCCTCATTCCAGAAAGCAGAATCTCTAGAAACCATTGCTTCTTGATAAGTTTTGGGATCATCTTGCACATTGAACAGAATATGTATCTTTCTTGTAACATTATTTAACCTATCTCCCTCTACATGAAAGACTATAACTTGAGGATCAATAAAATATGGACCAAAACTCTTTTCTTTTCTAGCCCTTTGACTTCTTCGTGGTTCATTAGCAACGGGGTCATCTAAAGGCCTTTTGCTACTAGAACCAGTGTAAAAAATGGGAGTCTGCAGAAGTAACTCGACATGGTTCTACATTTGCAGAATCACGTCGAAACTTGTTCTCAAAGAACTCAACATCCCTTGATTCCACAAACACATTAGATTCTAAATCTAGAACCTAATAGGATTTCGAGTTTTTTGCATGTCCAAGAAAAACACCTTTCAAAGCTCGGGGACCTAACTTAGTTCGCTTAGGATCTGGGACTCTATAGAAAGCAAGACAACCCCAAACTCTAAGATAACTCAAGTTAGGTTTCCTTCCCTTCCACAACGCATAGGCAGATTCCTTTATCTTCTTAGAGGGAATCCTATTGTGTACATGGCAGGCTGTTAGCAAAGCCTCACCCCACAAATTGTTTGGAGCACTAGCGTTAATCATGTCATAAAGAACTCCATTTTTTTCTTTCTGCTAATCCATTTTGTTGTGGGGTGTAAGGAGCAGTCCTTTGATGTATCAAACCATGTTGCTCACAAAACTCGTTAAAGTTATTAGGAAAATACTCTCTACCTCTATCACTTCGAAGGATTTGTATTTTCATACCTTTTTGAGTTTCGACAACATATTTATACAACTTAAACTTATCAAAGGCTTCATCATTGGTTCGCATTAAATATACATAGGTAAATCGAGTACTATCATCAATAAAAGTAATAAAGTACCTACATCCTCCTCTAGTTAATTGACGATGAAATTCACAAATATCATAATGTACTAATTCTAATAATTCTGAATTTCTATCAGCCAACTTAGAAAATGGGTTTCTCTTCATCTTAGCTTGCACACAGATTTCAC